TATATATATATATATATGTACGCGTGATTTATGCACACAATAGTTTTGACTTCTATGTATAAGTTTTATTCAATTATGTTTAAATAGTATCATAATATAAATTAATTATTGAATGGCCTAAGGCCTTTATTATTATGAATCGAAACACCAATAAAATGATATAGTATATAGCATATGTAAAAAAAAAAAATACGAAAATATGCAATATTTTATAAAGAAATATATTTATAAGAATTCTCAATAATTATGTACACACACATACATACACGCGCGCGCGCGCGCACACACTCCACTCACACTTTTTTTATTTAGAAAAGATAAATATCAAAAATCTTTCATTTAAAATTTTGTAGGGAACTGCAGGTTAAAAATGTATTTAAATAAATGTGAATCTTATAATAATGTAGATTTTACAATACTAGTAACATTTTTACCCTATAACATTTATCAATTATATGGTGCAACCATAACCACAAATCGTTTCATATATTAAATATTAAATATATCTCTCGCTAAATCGTAGATTAAGAAATACTTCCTCTTAAGAAAAATATGTTGAGAAACAGAGTATATTTAAATTTAAAAAATTGTTCAGTTATTCAATATTGATCTATTAATATTTATTTTTATTATTATTCCTATAAAACTAATAAATGAAAGTTACATTTGTAAAAAATATAATTTACTATCTTATAATGAAAACTTTTTATACAGTTTAATTATTAATTTTAATATCATTCTATTATTCTTCATAGTTGTAAACAATGGTTATATTTCTCTACTGCATTTTGTTTAAAACAAGAATATTTTAAATGGATATAAAAAATGATATTTATACAATATACAACCCATGTAAGAAATTGTACTTTCATTTGACTATAATTCATTGTTACAAATTCTTATTTAATTATTATTATTGTTTAGTTATATTATTATTTTCAAGTAATAATAATTATAACTCTAATCATTTTCTATTAATGTACAATAGAACTTAAAGGATCTGCTCTTATAGCTGATAGATCTAAACGTGCATCCATCTCGTCATCCAATTCTCCTACAATTGCTCTAAAAAAAAAGATATTATTAAAATCGTTCATATTTTTTATTACCATTTTATTCATTCACAATTTTTGCAATTTAATTAAAAAAAGAAGGAATTATATATTGTAAAAAATGTAAATTAATAATTATATATAAATTAATAATTACATATTTTTTTATTCAATAATTGTGTTGTCTGTTATAATATCAGAATAAAAGTAAAATATCATCTTGTTTCATCTTATTAAATAAAAATAAATCTAAAATAAAATAATACTAATAACAAAGAATTATTTAACACATTAAATATCACTAATGATATACATATAAAAAGATAGGCTGTGCATTTAATATTTCAAATATATTAGAATGAATTAAGTTAAATTACTTACACATTATCACCTCTAATAATATGTAAACCTAATACTACTTGTTCTACTCCTTGTGTTGTACTATATACACGTTCATGAGATTCATCTAATATTATGTTAATAGTCTGATCAAAACCTTTCAATGTTCCCTGAAAATATAATCTATTTAAATATTACATATAATTTTAATGTAAAATTAATATAAAAATATATTATAAATTAATAATAAAAAATTAAACTACATATATATTTAATATATATATATATATATAAAATATACAAAAAAATATTTGTATAACAATGTTATATAAATGAAATAACAATTTAATTATTTATAAAATTTTTTTATCAATAACAATATAAGCATACAAATTTATAATAATATTTATAAAATAATGTAATATATTCACTTACAATAAAGTTTCTACCATCAGAAGTAATAATAGAAACAGTATCTATGAATTGTTAAGAATTGTCAAAAAATATAATAAAAATAAAAATAATAAAAACAAAATAAAGGATACGATTTACATAACTTTCTAAACCTGACGCCATAATTTTTTATTTTATAGTTATTGATTACACATTAAAATAATTTTTAAGTGAAAATATTATGCGGATTTATATACTTAATGTTTGTTGTGAAAGTAAAAGCGTATCAATTAATTCACCATTCTACAAATGCATATATTATTCGATTATGTTTTAAATTAGAATTACATTAAGAATTATTTATTTTGAATTTAGTGTCAGATGTTCGGTTACACGATCAATATATTAAATGAAAATGCAACAGATTATTAAAATAATTATTGTTAAGATTTAAAATGATTGGTAGCATAATTCTATAATAAAGTAGCATAAATACAATTTTTTTTTATTTTACGAAATTATTATAACTTTAAATATAATAAATTAAAATATATTTAATATATTAGTTAATATATATTAAATATATAATAAAAAACTTAAAATATACAAATATAACATAGTTTAGTTAAATTTTGATAGATTTAGGAATTCATGAATATCATAGAAATGTTATTAAATAGAATCATTATAAATATGTATTTCGGTTTTATTATCATTATTATTTATTTGTTAAAATTTTATTATTTTTATTGTTAAAATTTTATTTTATATTATTTTGGATTATTTTAAAAATTCTATCATTTACTATGATGGCGCGCTAAACAGTTATTTTTTGCGTAGTAAAGTTTATTTTATGTTTGTATTCAACATTATGGACATTCAAATAACAAATACACGAAGAAAGATATTAAATCATGTAGTTTGTAGTATTTTAGTGGAATGTGGTTACGATACTTGTGAAAAACAGGCATTAGAAGTTCTCACAGAAATGTTACAATCTTGTAAGGATATTAATTTCAAAATATTTCTAACCTTTTAATATTCAAAATTTTATTATTTTATTTAATATAATATATTTTTTTAAATATTATAATTTATTTTTTAATTTTCTTTTAGATAAATTTTGATTTATAAATTTATAAAAAATTTATAAAAAATATATTAATAATATATTTTATATATATAATTACGTAAAACAATAATATAAATATTTAAAAAAATGAATAATTAAATTATTTTTATTTGTCATTTGAAAAATAATATAATTTATTAATTTTATTTAACAAATTTGTAATACAAGCAGAAATTATTTATAGTTATCGTTGAAGTTGGAGAATCAGCAAGAAATTATTGTGAACTTTCTGGTAGAACAGAACCACTCATTGCAGATGTTATAGTAGCATTAATAAATATGGGTATAAAATTAGATAATTTAGAAAGTTATGGAAAGAGAGCTAATAGAACAGTTTTACCACCACTTCAACAACAAACTCAATCAAAGCAATTAAATATTTTGCAAGCTGGAGTAAAACAAAGCCATCCATCTCATATACCAAGTTATTTACCACCTTTTCCTGATCCGCATGCATATATTAGAACTCCGGTAAAGTAAGAAATTAAAATAGATATAATTTTTTAAAAACTTATAATTTATATAATTATCAATATTTTAATTAAAACAATATTTATCACAGTTTTGAACTATAGTTTTAACTTATTTAATTATTTATAAATAGACACATAAGCAACCAGTAACGGAATATGAAGCAATAAGAGAAAAAGCAGCAACGCAAAAACGTGATATTGAAAGAGCTTTAACTAGATTTATTGCAAAAACTGGAGAAACACATAGTCTGTTTTTAACAGAAGATAATAGTATGTTTCCATGTAAGTAGAAATCTTATCAAAATCTGATTCATGTAAACTAATAAATTTATATGTAAATATACTTTTAAGAATTAAATCTTATTTTCAGTAATATCATGTAAACCACAATTTCCTAGTTATCTTTCTGCATTACTTCCACAAGATCAAGTATTTGAGATTGATCAAGATTTTCAATTTGAACCAAGTCCAATTAAAAAGAAAAAAGAACAAGAAACAGAAGAATCAGAAGAAGGTTTGATTATTATTTAAAAAAATTGAATTATCTTAAATAAATATCAAGAAATTTATTTTTTTGTGAATAATTTTATAATATTTTATATTTTTTATAGGTATAAAAGGACAAAATGAAGATGTTGAACAAAATGGAGAAATTACAACACAACAAGATGTTATAGATAATCCTTATTTAAGACCAGGAAAAATACCAAAGAATAAAATGCCAGGAGTTACAGCTCCTGGATTACATTTAATGAAAAGGGATTCTCTTGAATGATTATAACAATTGTAATTTTTTGTTAATTTTATTATTTTTTAGATTAATATTGTGTATATAATGTTTTAATGATATAAAATGTATTACACTAATTTTTGTATTCGTATTATATAATAAAAATTAATCTTTATTATAAATAATTTCATATAAAATTATTTTATATTACCAAAATTAATGTTACATATTATAAATATTCGATATAAATTAGATAATATTAATTATATAAATATTTACTGTATCTAATATCTAATCTAAAATTTTGTTTAAATATATATTAAATTCATTTCACATGTAAATATGTTTGGTTTTATTTGATCTAGTTTTTAAATTGATTGCTTATTTTTGTATTATGTTTTAATATATCAATTATATGTCATTTATATTGCACATATATAGCACCAGTTTAAAAAAAAATAAAAATATGAAAACAATTAGATAAGATTAAATTCTCTAAAAAAAATAAGTAGATAACTTACAAAAATAGACTTCCTCATTATATTGTATGTAAGATTTTTTACACATACAGTAATGCATGCTTAATTAACATAATTTTAGCACGCTTAGCTAATATCGAATTATTCCCATTTCTGAAACTATTTACACTTTCAAGAATCTTCTAACAAGAATCTATCATATTTTGTTCTTCTATTTCATTCTTACTCATTCTTGATTTAAATAACGAACTCGGATTTCCATATATAACTGAAACATTGCAAATTCGATACAGCGTCAGTTAAGCGTGCATCACTGTATATTACAGCAAATAACAGTATTAAAATTATATTCGCATTTCACTTGCAAAAATACATTATATTATCTTAGTTAATAATTTTAATATCTATAGATAAAAATTTTATTCTTATTAATTGTGCTGATTTTAGATTGATGTGTGTGCGAGCATCATACGCGTACAAAATATATTTACTACTAAATACATAAAAATATATAGCACATTGGTAATTTATATAAGGCATAAGCTCTATCATCTCTATTTTACTTTCTTACTTACTTGCTGAAAACTATATAAGAGAGATAGGCTTTGAAAACTGTTATAATTAAGCATCCCTAAAATATTTCATCTGAAAATATCTTTTGATATACTTTATACTTTTTAACGATTGAGACATATCTCTTGAAGAATTCATTTCTAATATCACTAGCACATTTACTATAAATTTTAGCACTTATATATAAAAATTATTAATACATTATAATCATTGTTAACTATAATGAATCTTTTAAGAAATATTCAAATATTTGAAATGAATATCATTAAAATCAAAAAAATTTTTTAAATATATGTATTTTTTTGTATAATTAAAAAATATATAATAATTATTTCTGAAAACTCATTTTTTAAATTATTAATAAACTAATTTTATAAATTTTTATTTTTTTTATGAATTCCATATTTAATTAAATTAATTTAAAAAAAATATTGAATATTTCTTGATAAAAAGATTTTAAATCAATCAAATTTAATGTTAATAAGTCTTACCTAACTTTTATAATTCACTTTCATTATATTGCAATTGCTTGCTTAATATTGATACCAAGGTTGTCGTCGCACCCACCGTAATTTCATACCAGATGCGGTACGTATTTTTATACTAGCACATTCTGCTGCACGAACAGTTTCTTTTACACTTTGCATAAGATTTTGAGCATTTCCAACTAACATATCTGTTGCTTCCTGATCTTCTTCCGTGCCTATATTTTTTGAAAATATTTTAAATAAAAATTATATAAAAAATTATATAATTAAATAAACTTAAAATATCTAATGTAAAACAAAATTGAAAAAAATTTTTAACATGTTTCATAGATTCAGCAAAATATATATTATATAATTGTTTCAATAAATTTAAATTTAAAAACGAATAGAAAAGCTACATTGAAAAAAATTAAAAGAGTTTTATTTTATTATATATTTTTAATTATAATATTATAATGAACATTATATATTATTAAAAAAAGAAAATCCAAATATATTTCATGAAAGTTTTATCTTCGATTGAAGCCATGAGAAAATAAAATTCAGATATACTGATATATTATGCTATGAAACAAGTTAAAAATAAAGATATTTATTTCTATTTTTCAATTCTGTAAAATATACTATATTATGATTAATATACATAATATTCAAATAAAAATAATTGTTAGACAACCATTATAAATAATTTCAATTTAATAAAAATTTAATTTTTAACATATAAATATTGCGTGCCATAAAAGAAAACTTTTATTCGCAAATAAAATAAAAAATGTAAATAAAAATGAATGAATTTATCATTTATAAGAAAGTTACGTGCAGAAACTAATTTAGAATACTTTTAGAATACTATATTCTATATTTAATACTAATGTTTTTCAATACATAAAAAAACATTGTGTGTATATATATATATATAATACTGTATATTACAATTTAAAATATTTTAAAAACAATGAAATGTGTAGAGAAAAAGAATCATGCAAAAAGAATAAAACATGTATATAAAACTTAAAATAAGATATAAATATTAATATTGAAAAGAATGATAAAAATGAATAATATAAGTTAATGAAGATTCAAGATAATAAAATTAAAAATTTTAGTCTAATTTTTTAAAAATAAATTATATATGTATATGCATATAATATAAATATATTGGGTATATATAATATTGTTTCTTATACACACAACGTTAATTTTAACATATTTATTTTCAACTATATTTTCTATACTAATTTATATTTATTTTATTAACTTACTGCAGCCAATCAATTCGTCTATGTCATGATGAGCACAGGCACATTAAATCATTTGTTTCATCAATAAATCAAAAGTTAAAAAATTGAATAAAATAATTTCATGATTTATAAAAAAAGAAAATTTCATTTATAAAAATAAACTAAAATATTAATAATAATTTTTTTTATTTATTTTATTAAATATTCCAAAATTTACCTAATAAAATAATTATTATTCATATATTATACTTTTTTATTAATCCATTGTGAGAAAACCTAAAATATGCATGCACTGCAAGTGCAAGACTGTATAATATCTACAAATAAATAAAAGAAACGCTAAAGAAAATGGCAAAAACATCAAGTATAATTTGTCAATATTTTTACCATAAAGCATCAATTCTTCCCAGGTAGGGAGCGTTTCTATATATAAAAAATATTATTAATAACTATTTTCATTAATCAATCAATAATTTTTTATAATATAAAATTTCTTCATTTCTATTTTATTTATTTGATAATTGGCAATCTATGTGAAAATTATTTGAAAATATAAATATTTCAAAAAATATGGGTAATACAGGAAAATATTTCGTATAAAAATTATAAAATATCAAAGGAAACATTTACTTGACCTAATAATGATTTTATATAATATATATAATATCATTAATATCATATAATATCATATAATATAATATAATATAATATAATATATATTTAAAATATGTATATTGTTATTAAAATATATATATAAAAAAAATATATAATAATATATATATATTTATATAATATTTATAATTTTTATTTAAATATTTATAATATTTATAATTTATATAATATATATAATAATAAATATAAATAAATTTAAACACTAATGTCAAAGATAAGTTAGGTTTCAAAATTAATATCTCAAAATTAATAAAATATATGTAATATATGTAACATATATGTAATAATGTATGTAACAAATATATGTAACATATATGTAAGTAGTATTTTGAAAACATTTAAATATCTGTTATAAGAATATATAATAAAAAATATAAAAAATATTGGTTTCCATTTAAAAATTATTTTATTTAAACATGAATTTTCATAGAACTTTTAAAAATTATCATTGAATAAATATGAATAATAATATTGAATAATGTCAATATTATATGACATTTTTTTATTCTATAATTTTTATCAGAAACATTTTTCTATATAATAACTGGACTTTTATTCACACACAATATATACAAAATAGAACATGTAATTAGAAATATTTCAATTATTCCATAAATAATAATTTTAGTGAAAAATATAAATATAAATATAAATTTATTGAAATTGATTGTATAGAAGATATATGAAGATCAAGTTTTTTTTAAATAGAATCATATTTTTTATTAGTCGATTTCGTTAATAATTTTTCATAAAAGAATATTAAACTATTCAAAGAATTTGAATTTGAATTTTATAAAATTTATTATAATTATACAAATTATATAAAAAACAAGAAAAACATGAACAGAAGAATATTGTTTTGCAATTTTCTTGTCTTTTTTATATTTTGCAAAATTTTAAAAAAATCAATTAATTATTTTTTTTTATACAAACAGATTATTTTTATAATGGAAAATTATTTTTTTAATGGAAAATTAGCAGAATCAACTAAATATATAATATTTATATTCCTAAATATACAATATGGTATTTATAATTATAATCTATATATAATATAGATGCATATGTAAGATAATATATGTATATATAAATAATAAATCGATTAATGTAATAAAAAATGTTATCATTTAAAAAAATAAATTTAACCTTCATATATCTTTTATATTCAAATAAAAGAAATCATTAAATTATTAATATTAAATATTTTTAAAAATTTTTTTAAAAATTTCATTAAATAATCAAAATAAATAATTTTAATTATTTTGTTCCATTTTGTACATAATATTAAATAATATTTGTACATAATATATAATATTATATACAGGATATTAATATGTTGACACTTTTGGAGAATTGATTCTAGAGACAAAAGCAAATACAAAAGTTAATGTAAAAATCATTGATTAAGACTCATTTATTAATTAATTTATTTATTATAAATTATAAATAATTTAAGTTCGTGTTAGATAAAGCGAGAACATATATAATATATAGAATATAATAATGATATAACAGAATAATCTCACTCTATTTCTGTTCACTTTGTCTAATGCAAACTTCAATTGTTTATAACAAATAAGCTTTAATTAACATTTTTATACATCAACTTTTGAGTTTATTTTAATCTCTGGAATCTTCTAAAAATATTCTACGAATACATCAATATTCTATGCATTAAATTAAATAATATATACTGTACCTTGTGCACCCAACATTGTAGCTTTCACTGTTGATAATATTTTTAATTGCGTTCCTATAGTAGGTATTCGTTCACAAACTTGAAGAAGATTCTATAAAATAAATATAAATATAAAAGATATAAATTTTAATTACATAATATTATATAAATTATAATAAATAAATTATATACATACTGTACGAATACGTTTATCCGTGCATTCTCTAGCTAACTCCTTAGCTAGACGAGTAACTTCTTGAGAAGCTTCTGCAATAGCCTTAGCACATGCAATCAAATCTCTTTTATTACCTCCTTCTCCTCTAACTAAGCCTGATAATCTGCCCATTAAAATAGCCATTTTTTTCGCAGCAGCGATAATTTCATTATCCTTACTCGACCATTGTCTTACTTCTTGATGCAAACCATGAGCAGCCATCTGTTTTCATCATCAATTTGATGAAAAAATATTATATAATATTATACATATTAATCTTAGAAAATAAACAATTAAAAAATAAAATTAATACCATTATAGGTTGATTAGGTTGCGGTGCATGCATAAACATTTCATCTTCATCATCCGTTTCTGGTGGTGGAGGTCGTGGAGGCGGAATATCTCCACCAGGCAAAGGAGGACGTGGTGGGACAACCTCTGAATAAATTAAAATTGTCCATAAAATTATTATAAAAATATTATATTTTTTGCCAAATATGAATTTATTATCAATGATAAAAACACTGAACACAATAAAAATCAACATTCATAGAAACAATGCATATTTCATAATTACCATCATCATTATCATAATCATAATAGTAGCCTATTGTTCCATGTAGCATTAAAAATACCAATATACATTAATAGTTTTAAGTTATGTATCAATACAATAATTATTATAATAAAACATGCATTAAAATATGATAAAAACAAACATAATAATTATGCAATGTATTAAGAAACAAAAATAAAAAATATTCGTATTAATTATAATGTTCTGAAAAAACAATGAATAGAATTATTAAAATAAAAATAAAAATCATAAATTTATATATTATTATAATGATATCAGTACAAGTGGGTAAATGAAAAATAAATAAAAATTGCTAATTGAAAATAATTTAAAAAACGATATTATTTAAAATAATTTTTCGAATGTTTAATATGTATTTATAATATTTAATGAAAATAAATGCAATGCATTATTTTTTTTAATAAAAGTATTCATACATTTCTTTTATAATTTCATTAAATTTTTTTGATAATTATATATATTTTATCATCTTTTTTTATTTTCTATTATAAAATATATCTTTCTTTATTTTCTATTATAAAAAATTATAATAAAAAAAAAGAATATATATTCAATTTCATTATATACATGCTTTTTTTTCATGATTAAACAAAGTTTTAAGTATTGAACACTTGCAATTCCAATTCCCAAAAATACCAATTTCAAATTACCTCCGTCGTGAACTGATTTTTCTAACTCGATGTCAGAAGCCAGTTCTTGATATAGGAGATCAGGGTTATCTCCTGATAAAAAAAATAATTACTTTCATGTCTTAATACCAACAAACAATTTTATTTCGAAAATTTATATATTCATTTTCATTTTTGAGCAATTTATTAATAAATATTTTTCAACAAGAGAAAAGAATAATTATATAATAATTATTTAAAATTTATTTAAACTTATTTTGATTGTTTTCTTTTCAAATAATAGTAAATACCTTCACGTGCCCACTTTGGTAATGGACTGATAGAGCGATGTTGGGATTTATTTGTGTTTAGACTAGGGCTGATGACACATAAATTGCTTGGCGATGGTTGATTTCTTAAAGGTTCACCAACTAGCATTTAAAGAAATGTTCACAAATATTTATATATAAATTTTTTATTAAAATTTAAAAATAAAACGAGAAATTATATTGAATTATATTGAGATATCCTTATCCTATTTTTAGATAAATATTGTTTTATTAAATATTAAATTTAAAATTTAAAATGAATTTAGCATTGCATACGTTTTCAGATTATTAATATTATTCATTTTTACATATATAATGAAGTTTATTATTAAATATTTAATTAATAAAATATGGTAATTGATCATGCATAAATTATTTTCATATAAATATATAGTACCTTTATCTATGAAGTAATTATATTGACGGCTTGGCAAATGTTTGTCTGTAAGAAATATGTTAAGAATTTTTATATTGGAAAAAAAAATTTTTATATGAAAAAAGAAATATTTGAACTTTGCCTAAAAAAATATACATATATTAAATGAATTTTATGCATTTCAATATGAATAATTAATAGTTATTGCAAAGCTATAAATTAATATATATAAATTAAATAAACAAACATAAAATAAAGATTATAAATAATGCATGAGTAAATGTCCTATAAAAATAAAATGATCAAAAAATATATATTAAATTAGTTACCTATATTCAGAATAAGTTAATTTTAATAAGGTATATATTTTTACAAAATAAACAAATTATATATAAAAATATTTTATTCTTACCATCATTAAGATGTAATTGCGATACTTCTGGCGGAGATATTACATCTGGTTGAAGTATGATAGCCTTACGAACTTGTCCAACATTAGATAAAAGCTATAAATAAATAAATAAATTAAACAAAATAGTAATAATTAGTAATAATAAAAAAATATTTATCTAATCTAATCTAAAAGTATGTTAATTTATATTTTATAATACTTACTGTACGATTACTTTCTCTCCAATGAGAAACTGCATTATTATCATTAATATTAATTGCAACTAATTTTGCATTTTGAACCATTGGAGCAACACCTAAACAAAAGTTTTAGAAAATTTAAAATAATTTAATTAAACGATTTGTAAATATTATTGTAAATCATATTATTGTAAATAATATGATTGAATGTCATTTACTATTTTGGAGAATATCTGTAGCCTGGTTTACTCTTTGAATGAATGCAGTATCTTCACTATTGTCACTTTCTTGTTTCGCTACAAGTATTACTCTGTTAGCTAATCTAGCAATAGCAGCCGTATTGTCAACCATTTTTTGTGGATGACTTTTTGCAATAGCTTCTTCGCATAGGAACGAATGCTTTTGCATTTGTTCTTCTGAAGTTCTAATGAAATCTCCACTATCAGTTGCTTCATCACATAGTGCCCGAACTCTTTGCATTGTATCTGCATATTGCTGTCGCAAATTTTCAAAATGTTCATCAGCTGCTTTACTATCAGGATAAGTCATTCGAATACGCCCAGCATTAATTAATTGTGGTGTTAAAGATTCAACTTGTGAAGCACTTGTAGTTAATGCTTCTGCCAATTTTTTATTGCCTCCACTTCCTAAAATTTAAATATATATTATATAAATAAAACAATAATAAATTTAATATAAATATAAATATAATAGTTTATAGTGAATAAAAAAATATAATAAATAAATGTAATATAATAAATAAATGTAATATAATATATATGATATAATATAAATATGTATTTACATACCACCAGCAGCTACCATTTTAGCTGTTTTTGTTGCTCTATTGGAAAATGTTTGAAGAGCATGAGTCTTATCATTAAAATTTTGATCTCGACCTAAAGAACCTTCTGGGGTCAATACAGCATCTGTAAATTGTTTCAGAGGCGTCGTTATATCAATGAAATCTTCAACTACTCTAGACACAACAGCTTGCTGTATTCTATTCTTCAGTTCATATAGCTTATGTGACAATTGACGAGCGATTTCTTGAGCACGAGGAGTATTTCCTTGACCATGAGCACATAAATCACCAAGTTGATGAGAGAGATTATCTACTTCATCACAGAGTTGTAAAATTTCTGCTTTATGTATTCCTGGTAAACCCTCAGCAACCTAATTTAAAGTATAAATAAATTAATAAATATGACAAAAATTAAAAGTTTATATGTAAAGAATATAATGATGATATAATTAAATTATTATTATTTTAATAAATATTCTAATTATATATGTAACTTACGCTTGCTACATGTTGTTGATTCTTTCCATTTGCAGCATTTAAATTATTAAAATTAAATGATAAAATTAAATGATAAATCTTTGAATTTATAATTATAACTATATCATTAATCGAAGAAAAAAAATATTATTGTATTTAATATATATATATGTACCTTTTTTCCTTCATGTATAATTAATGCTATTGCCCTTTGACCAAGTCCTTTATCATCATGTTGAGGATTAAGAAGCCATTTATTTGCTTGTTCTAAACGACCTGCAACTGTATGAGCAGTTTGTGTGGTTCCAGATTTATCAGCAGCAATTATGGCAGAAGCAATAGAGCTACGAAGTTCATTTGTTTTTTCTTTTATACTACGTGCTAAGGCTTCTGCTTGTGGTGTAGTTCCTTTAAGAATAAATATATATATTATGAAAAATTAAAAAAAAATATATTTATGAAATATATTTTACATTTATATACATGTGCATTATACAAACCCTTCTCATTTTGTCTTAATTCACAAAGAGCATTGGTCATAGTGACAATTTGTGAAGTTAATTTTTGTAATGATTCTGCTTGTGATGGCGGAAGATATCTTTCTGCTAATCGCTGTGCTTGTTCAACTATTTGACGAAGACTCTTTTCTCCTAATCCACCACGCAATGCAAGTCCATCATCTAACCAATCATAAGCAGCTCTTATTCTAGACTCTATAGCACTTTGTGCTTTTTTTAACACCTTAAAAGAAAATAGAAAAATATAAAACAATAATTAAATTTTATACTTCAAGAATATAAATTATATTTTAATACTTACTGTTAATTGGTCAGCATCCCATTCTTCTTCATCATATGTTGTAAGTTGTAATACCCTGATAATTTCATTTAATTCATCTGACATTCTACCTGATAAATAGTTACGATTTTCAGCTGCTTCTTCTGCTCCTTTACCGCCTTGAGAGATAATATGAATGAATATTTTCATGGAGCAGATGAGAATTGGTGCAAGTGTTTTTACCTTTATATATTTCATAACACTTATTAAGATATTAATAAACACTATTATAATATGTTGATATTAAGTTGATATTCTTGTAATTACCTGTTCTAAGCAACGTACTAAAATTTCTCTATGCACTTGATGTGTTAACTCTTTTTCTCGAGCACTTACTTCTTTTGATACTTTACTGAGGCAAGGACTTAAATTTTTAAGAAAATGAACTAAATCTTCCATTGTTTCAATAACTTCGGTTACTGCCAAGTAATCTAATACTCTTTTACATTCTCTGATAATTTTACGTACTTCACTTTCATCAAAACATAGTAATAAGGAACTAGTTCCTTGAAGAATGCCACGTGAACCTTCTATAAGTTTTTTTCTAATAAAAAGAGAAAAATTTAATTTTTTTAACTTATGATAACATTATTTATCATTATTTAACATGTTAACATTATAACATATACAATAGTATTATAACATAAATTTTATTTTATTTTTTGTACCTAGCTGGTCCAGAATAAGGATCTTGTTTTAACATAGCTGATGCTTCTTCTAAAAGACGTGAAGCTCCTTCAACACGTTGTAATGCAGCAGGCATATCTTGTTTAAGCAAGGCATCATCAGAAGAATTAATTGTTTCTTTTCCTACCTATATAATATTTATTGTTATTATTAATATTAATAACAATATAAAGTAAAATGAATAATTTTAATAAAATAAATTTAGTTTTACAAAATAATTTACCTTAACAAGATTTGCTACTGCCATACTAACAGCTTGTACAGGTTTTCCTAAATCAGGCATTGCATTTCCATCTTCAGCTTCTTCATGTAAAATAACAAGTCTCGAAACCTATATTATAAAAAATATAAATAATAATAAATTTTTTATACATATAATTATTTATAACATATAATTTTTATAACATAAAAATATAAAAAATTTATTTATATTATTAATTTTTATAATTATTATATTTTATAATTTACATATTTCATTATTATTTTGTTTAATATTTTTTATAATAGATAAATTATTAACAAAAAATATATATATAGATATAAAAAAAAATTTCTAAATTATATAGAACTATTTAATATATAAAATAAATATTTTTATATATAGTATATATTTATTATATTTTATATATAGTATAATTATGAATATATTTCAGACATACAAGTATTTCAATTTTAACATAAAAATATTACATATTAATATTAATATTATATATTATCATTTCTAAAATAAAATATAATTTTTTTCTATATAATTTTTCAAAGTATATTAATATCTATATAATTTTATTTGTTTATTTCACATTAACATTATTATTATTAGAACATATTCAAACATATTTAATTTATGAAACATTAATAATTTCATATATAATGTGTAGGATATTTTAATGATTGGTAGAATTCTGTATGTCCATTTTTGGAAATACTGAATAATCTCAGATGACATAGTTTCTTATAATGTTATGTGCTGGGATTGAATTTCATAATTTAGCTTTTAAAACTAAAGATAAATTTAGTATTCCTGTCCTATATTTGTAGAATGATGTCATAGTTCTATATAAAGAAAGACAAGTCATCATCTTTGACAAAACTTTGTAATGAAAAATATCATAATAAATACTTATTATTATTATTATTATTACTTATATAATATTCATATATAATATTCATAATAATAATAATAAGTATTTGAAGCTATTAAGCTAAAATTATAAACTTTCTTATATAAACTTATATTAAGAGATATGTTAAATGATTTAATCTGATAAATTTTAAATGTATAAAAACATATTTTTCAAAACAATATAACAAATATTTATGATATATTTTATATATATATTTATATAATTAAATTATTTCTTAAATATCAAATTATCTCCTTTCTAGAATATCTGTTCTTTCTCTTTTATTCTCCTCTTTCACAAATGAGAAAATCGATGACATTTTTAGAAATATAATAAAATTAATGATTTTTTATAAATCTAAGAATTAAAGGATAGAAAAATAAGTATAATTACCTGCTGTGCGACAGGTTCGAGAATACTTTCTATAGTTTTTGTATGAAATACCGGCATTTTAATAATTTTACTTTAAAAAATGTAAAAATACTAATTATTAGAAAATATTCACACAAAAAAACTTTTTTGAAATTTTGACAAAAAAATTATATGCAAAAATATTAACAATATATTAAAAAATCGAAAAACTTTTCTAACGAAGCAATGTGAAACAACTCATTTAATGTACTATAATGAGAAAATACGTAATTGATGGATCACATCAACGATTGTACTATTCGAGAAAATGATATCGATATAAACATAGAAATCTAGGGAAATAGGATGACTATGATATTTGTAAGTTACTATATTATATAGTAACTTTTTATATTTTAAAGTTGTATATATCTTAAAAATTATAAATTATTGTACATTGTATGATAGTTGATTATTTTCTAGAAATAAATAAGAAATTGCTAATACATATTAAATATACAAGATGTGTAAGATTCGTAAATTATAAATCATAAAGCAAAATTTTTTAATTTATATTTATTTTTAAAAGTTATATTTATAAATTTTAATTTCATATAAATTTAATCAGCAGAGGTTAATGGAATAAATTACATCATAACTAATAACGTCAATTCATCACAAAAAGTATCACAAAAATCAAAACTTGGCTTATATCTTATAGGTACAACAGGTAATGAAAAATATTATATAAATATAATTTTATATTATTAATCACTATAAACATAATTTGTTTATATTATTTTTTTAGGAGGCATTGCAACAGCTATTAGTGTAATATGTTTTCCATTTATCAGTCCTGCACTTCGTAAAATATGTTTGCCTTTTGTACCAGCAACGTCTCAACAGATACAAAATGTATTAAAAGCTTTAGAAGGACGTTCTGGTTCTTTGATTGATCTTGGCAGTGGAGATGGACGAATAGTAAATATTTTATTCATACAATAAAATAATTAGTAAATTATTAATCAAGATATAAATTTACGATTATGATTTTATAAACAGGTTTTTGCAACAGCTAAAGCAGGTTTTAAAGCTTATGGAATTGAATTAAACCTTTGGTTAATATGGTACTCTAGATTAAAAGCTTTAATCACAAGATCATCTTTACAAACAACATTTATCAAACAAAATTTATGGAAACACAATTTAAAAAGATATAATAATATTGTTTTATTTGGTGTCGATCAAATGGTAAATTTTATATGTATTACATTATTTTTATACATTATTTTTTATAATTTATATAATTTTATAATTTATATAATATTTTCAGATGAAAGATATTGAAACAAAATTTATTAATGAATTGCAAGAAGATTGTATTATAATTGCTTGTAGATTTCCACTTCCTACTATGACTGAAATTAAGATTATTGGTGAAGGTAATGATACTGTTTGGGTATATAAGATTTCAAAAAAATTACAATAATAAAATTAGATATAAATTGAGATACTTATAAATATTACTTAATTATAAGTTATAAGTTATTCTAAATGAATCATAATATACATTATAATTAAATAATAATATAAAAATAAATAAATTTTACAAAATTAAAAGATTAATGCTATTTTAAATTTAATGTTATTTTATTTTTGTAATTAATATTTTTATATTTAAATTATTTAAATAATATGTAATTTATATTTTTATTTAGTACCCATATATTCTTATTAATTAATTACTTTTACATTCATATAATATGACTATAGTCATATACATTTTTATATAATTATTTGTTTTCTAATTATATTATAATATAGAAAAATAGACTTTTATATTTATCTAGAATATTTTGTCAAATTCAAAATCGAATATATTTAATATTCTGTAATAAAAAATTGAGCTAAGAAATTTAAAAATCCAAAAATTAGAATACTTATATGTAAAAATAGAGAAAATATTGTTAATTTTTTTTGTTCTTTCAAAATTACCAAGTATAATAAACTTGGTAAGGTAAAGATATAAATAAAACCACTTAAAGCACCTGTATATCGTATTATTGTACCAATATAGGGTACAAATACTGCAAAAAAAATGCATACAGATACTAAAATAATATTAATCATAATAACACAACCTGTATTAAATATGTTACATATAGATGTAAGTAATTGAATACGTAGCATATATGCAAGTAATGGATAAACAGTTAATAGTTGAAAAAGAAGAACAATTCGAGCACCCATTGTCAAGCCACTCCATTTTTGAAAATTATTTAATAAATTCTGTAAAAAAAGTTAATCTTTAATTTTGCTTTTTGTAGTTTTTGAAAATTTTGTACTTAGTTTATTATTTATTTTATATTTTACTTACATCTTCAATGCATGATTTATTCAGTGGAAAACACACATAAAATACTATACCTATTGTAATATAAGTTAAAGTAACAAGAAGATAAGCTATTGAAAGATCTCTTCCCTATAAAAAAAAAAAACTTTTTAAAAATCTAAGTAAATTTACAAAAAAAAAGAAAATATTATTTACATTTTTACTCTGATCATAATTATTCTGCATTATAGTAATTATAATATTGTGAATGAAAAATGATAATGCCAACATTCCAGAAAGTGCAGGAAATGAGAATTTTAATGTCCAACTAGTTTTCCATTCTATTTCATTCATATTGATACCCCATGAATAAGATTTTATCAAAATAAACACTATTAAATATATAATTGATATGGTTCCTATGAAATATATAATATTAAAAAAAATATTTCGTAAAAATAAATAAATTTATAAATTGAATGAAAATGTTATGTTAAATTTACAAATTATTTATTCATAATTATAAAAAAAAAATAAATAAATAAAAATAAGTAAAAAAAAAAAATAATTTTATATACTTACCAAGAGAATTAAATTTTGCAAAAAAAGTAGGACTATTAAAGTTCAAAAATGGAAATATTAATAAACCAAGAAAAATAGGAACTGTTTTATATAAATCCCAAAATGGTCCCAAAGTACCATATGTATAATCATGTATTATAAAATTTGTACTATTATAAATTATTTTTTTGGGACATAGTACTATAATTAAAATTAGTAATACTTAATAATTTTTTCTTAAATATTTTTTTTTATTTATTTTTAATTATTTTTTAAATTTTTTCTTAATATTTAGTAAATTTGATTAAATTTATAATAAATAAAATATTCTTACCTTCTGATGTGAAAGAAGTATTGTCAATTATAGGAAATTGAGATACTCTAACTACGCTATCTATAAAAAAATAAATATAAATTTATATAATATATATACATAATAAATAAAACAAATTTTATTTTTGTATATTTACCATATATGAAATTCACAGAATTATACAAGAAATTAGACATTAAAACCCAATAAGCTATAGTAGCACCTAACAAAACTGTAATGCTAAAAATTTTAGCAACATATTCTGCCCACTTATTAAGATATATTTGACACAATTGAATTACTTCTATATTTTTTTGTTCACCTAAGACATTAAATTATCATAAATATATTATAGTATTAATTTTCTTAAATATGTAAAAGGAAATATGTTTACCATAATAATTATGTACAAGTAAAAGACAATAAGCAGTATATAAACATAAACCACTCATTATAAGTATTAAAAGAATACCAGGGAAAAAGCCAGCCATTTGAATACCCCATGGTATTGTTAATAAAGAAGAACCTAATATTGTATTCCATATTGAAAATCTATAGAAATATGAACATATAAAATTAAAAACAATAAAAATAAAAAAATAAATATTTAAAAATAAGAAAAAGAGAAATAGATATTTAAAAATCAAAAATATATTGTAATTATAATTTTATCAAAAATGCATTAAATATAACAAAAAAATATGCTTTTTATTCCTTTATACAGATTAGCATTCATATTGAAAATTAGATTAATTTTTTATGTTATTAAATATTTTTATATATTATTATTAAAAATTTTTAAATTATTTAAAATTATTATATATTTATGATATATATTGACTTATGAGTATATATATATATATATGTATATATATATATATATATATAAAACATATATATATATATATATTTTTAAATATTAAAGAATCTTAAGAAATACACATGTAATAAAATTTCATTCTGATTGTAATTATAATGTTAAATAAAAAATCTATTAAATTATAAATAAATAAAATGATAATTTAAATTTTTAGCATGCTAGTATAGATTACATATAAATTACATATTTTTTTATTCTTCTTTTATTATTCTTATCTAATCTATAAATCTGTTGAAATTAATATTCATCAATATTCAATTATAATATCTTGTGCGATTTCCTTGTTAGGTACCAGTAATGGACATTGACCTTTCGGATGTCTGTTACCCAGGCAACCGACAGAGCGCTAACCCCTTCTAATGTGAATATACCATACAGTCGTTACAACCACCCGATGGTTGTCGAAATATAAACGACATAATTACGTTCGTTTGATACTTACATTCATTTTCATTTTTTAAAAACATGTATCTGTGAATCTTTTGCATTTTTTTTTCTTTAAAATGAAAAGAAACAATTTTTACACTAACTATGTATAATTTAAAATTTCTTTGTTTCATATTATTTATGCTTTAAATATGTGCTTTTTAAGATGTGAAAACAAATGATAGTATATTCAATTTTTTAAACGATAATTGAAATATTGTATGATTAATAGTGAAATTTAATATTATGGATTTAATATGTTTTGAGATTTAATTTTGGTGAAATTTGATAATAGAAATTCAATTTAAATAGGTAAGTTTATTTAAAATGATATAATATTTATAATAAAATATTTATATATATTAATGAATATTTATGAATCTTTTATAATAATATTTAAGTTTGAATATATTATGTTAGTTATATATTCTTTTGATTTCAAAATCTATAAAAAAATTTAAAATTATAAAATTAAAAATTTTATTAAAAATATATTATTAAAAATTTTAGAAATAAAAAAAACATCAAACATAAAATTAATACATTTAAACAAATATTCAAGATTATCTATTCTTCAAATTAAAAATATAACAAATTTTATTATTGCAAATATAAAATTTTTTTTTATACATATATTAATAAGAGATTAAGATAAGAATTAAAAAATGAGGAAAATGATATAATATAAATGAAAGAAAACAAATTATAATCTGACATATTCAAAATGTATATAGACATTTCTGATGCAAGATTTCATTTTTCTCTCATCATCGACCTATTAAAAATATATGACTACTAAGAGATAACAAAAAATTTATGAATATGATTAGATTTCTGAATGCTGTATTAAGAGAATTGACCCAGAACCTTTTCTTGATGATAACATGATAGTTGATAATAATTTATAATTAATACTATATTGTACTATTGATATTAAATTTAATATTGTATTTATCAATACAGGAATAAATACAATAATCAAAACTTCTTTTTTTTATCAATAATCATATGGAATTCTAAAAGCATTTCTATATAATATAATATATTTATTATACAACATAATAATCTTATTTAGATATTAAATATTAAGTATATATTATATATATATTAAGAATTATAGTTACTTACATTGTAACTAAAGAACTTTGTTTTGATTTAATATCCTTACATGTATCTTCCACAATTTCCTGTTAATAAAACTAAGATAAAAATTTATTTATAATAAACTTTTTGTAAATAAAACTTTTGCATTTTTTAATATTCATAATATAAAGATTATATAATATATAAAGAAAAAATAATATATAATATATAATAATATATAAATAAGAAAAATATATATATAATAATATATATAAATAAAAATTATAGAAATAAGTATAAAAAAATGTTTTACTTAATGATTATAATTAAATTTAAATAATGATAATCAGTTAATATCATTTTTGTATATATATATATATATATAATATTTAACTTTAATATGCAAGATTATAATTTTATATTGTTTGTGATATTCTTACCAGATCAGTATTATGGATTTCATAACATCTATCTTGGATTACATTTAATGAAGAACAAGTATTTAATGTTAAAGATGTAACTAAAGTATGATTTTCAGTAAGGGATCTTTTTGGTATTATGGTAATATTAGAATGTAAATTACAGGTTTCAAGACTACCATATCTATAACAAACATATAATAAGTAATTACTATTCACAATAATATTAATAATGACATATGGTAAAAAAAACAATAATATTTTAGATTTCTTATAATAGATAGAAATATTGTTAATTAATGAATAGTAAAAAAGTTGATACTTGAAATAATTTGTTGGAATATATTCTAAATCACTAGTCTCAGAATCTTGAAATATAACAGGTTCTACACTAATATGAGATCCTGAAGAGATTAAAGGTGCACTTTCAGATCCATTATCATGATGTATGCAAGATTTCCAGGCATTCTGATATTTATACATTTTATATTTAATTTATGCATATACATGCATATCATATAATAGAACTATTAAAATATATATAATGTATTATTAAACACATTTAAATATATTTATATTTATATTTTTAAATATTTAATTAAAATATAATAATAATAATATAAAATATAATAATTAATTAAAATATAATATAAAAATTACATACCTTTTATAATATACAATATGTGTTAATATTTCTAATAGTTTATTTCACTAAAACTTTACAAAATTTAATGAATTTGTATTTTTGCAATAAATTCTAAATTTAAAATTAAATGAAATTGTGATTATATGAATTATTATTTCTATAATATTCTGAAAATTTATATAAACATAATAAAAAGAATGACTGAAAATCGTAAATCTATTTATAATTTAAAAAATCTTTTTTATAATTTAAGATTTTTTATATTTTTAATATTCAATAAGATTGCTACATCAATAATAAAATGTATAATTTATAGCACCTTTTACTCGTAGCACACATAACATGAATGAAACTTCGAGAAAACTGTTGTTTTAAACAGTTTAACTAACAGTTTAACTAAGCGTCTGTTTTGTAAATCCGCGTTCTTATATCGGATATCCTTGACATAACAAACTCCCTACTCCTCATTTTTCTTCAATAATATTAATCGTCACAATAATCGTCTACGCATTCATATATTTATATACTTAAGCATTTTCCTCTACATTTTCAAATATTTTTAAGAAAAAAATATCGAAATATTTGTAGAATAACAAGATATAAAGAATTTATGATATAACATATTTTTTCATTCAAAAAAATGATAAATTTTTTTTGCGATATTATATAAACTTTCAATTTTTATGTTATGAAAATGTGAATTTCTGAAATATCAATATAATTTAAAATTATATTGAAAAGCATCAGTTTAGCAAATAAATATTAAATAAACTCTATTTCTTGTAGATGAAAACAGAAAAAAATTTGTATGTTAAACTTATTTGTTTAAGACATAGGAATGATAAGACAAGTTTAATTTAACATTTTTATTCATTTACCTTACGTGATTCACATTAAACGGAAACCACTACTAAAATCAATAAGACGTCATTATTAACTTGTGATTATTGATATTTTTTATCAAATGTTTATATTTTATTATCAATGTTTTACTGTAAGAATATTTATGTACTACATTTAAAAGATCCATTTTCATAAAACCGATATTATTAGTCAATAAGTAAAGCGCGGGCGCAATATTTCAAGATGGTGACTCGTGCCCTTGTATGTCATTGGTAGACAAAGTTCAGTCTGCTAGCAGGCATCGAGGACGTGTTATTAAATTCTGAAATCTAAGTTTTTATTGTTATTTGATTTAACATAAAAACAAGTTATTTTTTGATTTAATTATTATTTATTTTATTATATTATTAAATATAATAAAAATTGAAAGATGTCAAATATTGTAACGAGCATAATTATAGAAACCCGAATATACGATGGACAAAAGCCGGGTACGTCTGGATTACGAAAAGCCGTACAGGTTTTTATGCAAGAACATTATACAGAAAATTTCATTCAAGCAATATTACAAGCTCTTGGAGACAAATTATTTGGTAGTACATTAGTTGTGGGTGGTGATGGGAGATATTATGTGAAAGAAGCAGTAGAAAAAATTATCAAAATTGCTGCAGCTAATGGAGTAAGTGTATCATTTAAATATAAAGGATTTATTTAAACTTATTTAAATTTAAATCTAAATCAAAAATATATTTATATTTTACTTTATTAAATAATTATTATCTTTTAATTTTCTTGTTATGAGTGTATATTATTTAATTTAATCTAAATAATTTTTATAATTCCAAAAATATTTACATTAATAACAATCAAAAAAAAAAAATTAAATCAAATTTTAATGAAACGTTTCAGGTAAAAAGATTAATAATTGGTCAAAATGGTATACTTTCAACTCCAGCTGTATCTACTATAATAAGAAAATATAAAACTTTAGGAGGAATTGTCCTCACAGCATCTCATAATCCTGGTGGACCAGATGCTGATTTTGGTATTAAATTTAACTGTGAAAATGGTGGTCCTGCTCCAGATTATGTCACAAATAAAATCTATGACATTACTAAAGTGCTCAAGAATTATAAAACTATACCTGATATATCCATAGATATAAGCAAAATTCAAAGTACTATAATACAAGTGGATGGAAATTCATTTATAGTAGATATAATAGATTCTGTTAATGATTATTTAGAACATATGAAAAATATTTTTGATTTTTCTAGTATTAAAACATTATTACAAGGAAGTAATGATCGTCCTCCTTTTAAAGTTCTTATTAATGCAATGAATGGAGGTATGCAAAACTTAAATTAATATAAATTTAATATATTTGATATTATATAACAATTCTTTTTGTTCAGTTACTGGTCCATATGTAAAACGAATATTTAGTAATGAATTAGGTGTTGACAATTCAAGCATCATTAATGTAATTCCATTAGAAGATTTTGGTGGACTTCATCCTGATCCAAATTTGACATATGCTATAGATTTAGTAAATACTATGAAAAATGATCCATATGATTTTGGTGCTGCTTTTGATGGGGATGGAGATAGAAATATGGTAAATAAAATTTTTTAATTCATATGAAAAATGAATAAATAAAAATAAATTTATATTTAATATTATTGTAGATATTAGGTAAAAAAGCTTTTTTTGTTACACCTTCTGATTCATTAGCTGTATTAGCTGCCAATTTAAATGCAATACCATATTTTAAAAAGACTGGTATTAAAGGATATGCTAGATCTATGCCAACAGGTGCTGCTGTAGATAGAGTTGCAGCTAAAAATGGTATTAAATTTTATGAAGTACCCACAGGCTGGAAATATTTTGGTATATATTAATGTTTGCTTATTTTTGAATTACATAGTTTATTTTTTTATAATAACATTTTAAATATAATATTTTTCATTAATATTTTACTATTAGGAAACTTAATGGATGCTGGTCTTCTATCACTTTGTGGAGAGGAAAGTTTTGGCACTGGTTCAGATCATATTCGCGAGAAAGACGGAATATGGGCTTGTCTTGCATGGCTAAGTATAATTGCAAATCTTGGAAAATCTGTAGAAGATATATTATTAAATCATTGGCAAACATATGGAAGGAACTTTTTTACAAGGTATTTTTATTATGTTATATGATTAATTATTATTATATGTTATTTTTTTTTTAATACATTATGTTATAACTTTATATAATATATATACTAGATATGATTATGAAAATTGTGATTCTGAAGCAGCAAATAGAATGATGCAACATATTGAATCAGAAATACAAAAACCTGAATTTATAAATTCAAAATTAATATCTGAAAATAAAGTATATATTGTAAAATTAAGTGACAATTATTCTTATGTAGATCCTGTTGATGGAAGTCAAGCTAGCAAACAGGTATTGTATTATAATTCTATACATTTTACATTATATAATATATAACATATACAACATATTGAGATAGTATAGATTATTATGTAATTTTATAACAGGGACTAAGAATTTTATTTCAAGATGGTTCTCGTATAATTTACCGTTTATCTGGTACAGGAAGTTCTGGAGCTACTATTCGTGTATATGTTGATAGCTATGAAGATGATCCAAATTCTTTAAACAAAGATGCTCAAGAAATTCTTAAACCATTAGTTACTATTGCGTTAAAAATAAGTAATTTACGTGAATTTACTGGTCGTGATGCACCAACCGTGATTACCTAATACATAATTCTTATCATTAACAATTACATTATCATTAAAAATATACTATATAATAAGAAAAAAAAAATAAAAAATCATATTTATATATATATATATATATTATAAACAATTTAAATAAGAAAAATATTTTAATGCATCACTATATGCTTTATATAATATTATTATATTATATATTATATATATATTATATATATTATATTATTATATAATTTATATATATATATATCTATATATAATATATATATTATATTATTATATAATATTATGAATTGCAATTATTATATGAAAATTACATAAATGCATATATTTGTATGAATCGCAAATTTAAGATATAAGATTCTTATATATTAATCAAAAATGAGTAATATATAAATAATTGAATGTTCAGTAAATCCAATAAATTTTTTTATTGATTTTAATATTAAATATTTGAATATCATGATAATAGAAATTATTCGATTATAAAAAGTAAGAAAATATTTTCTCTAATGTAATTCATAATTTTGCTTATATAATTATAAATATTTCATATGATTTATAACAAAATATTTAATATAAAAATGAAGAGCAACGTATGTTTCATATTTTTCTATACAAAATGGCAGATTTTTCATTTAATTATAAAAGTTTTAACTTTTACATGGTTATTATATTTAAAAATATTTTGTTAATATAATAGAAAAACAAAAAAAAAATTTATATAGTAAAATTCAGTAAGAAATCTAAGATCACGCATATCTTTATACGTAGAACTGTTGTTTGCCAAAGGTGTTCAAACATAAAGATGGAAATGATTTAATCCTTCATTATTTGTATAATGTTACATAAATTTATAAAAATGTTTAGTTATATCTTGAAGTATATAAGAATATTAATTTTAAAATTCAATATTTTTAAATTACATTTTTATATAATTTTATATATAAAAACATATATATAAAATAAATATAAATATAAAAACATTTTATATATAAAAAATAAAGAATACATGTATATAACATTATATAATTTTCATTGAAGGATTAAAAAAAATTATCTTCAATTGTAATTAAAAGTATTATATCATATTATTTTTATTAATTTTTCATTTTGTTTTAATCTATTTGATAATTCTGTTTTTATTAAGATGGCGGTTGTTCGTGTGATAGGAATGAAATTTGAATTTAATATTATTTTTATGATTTATAATTCCAAAATAGTTGCTATTTTTTCGATTTGATTTATGTAAATGAAAACATAACGAATACAAGAACATAAAATATTTTAATTAATTCCAATTATATTCCCTGCAGTATAAGCACTTACTTAAAAGCTGTAAATAATTATAAAGTTAATTTTTATAGTTAAAATAGAATATTGATTTTGAACAAAACATATTACAGATATATATAATTAATGCTAAATTATTTTAAAAAAGGATTTATTTATGTGTGTTATGAAATATTTAAAAAAAAAATTGAAATTAATATAGATATGTATAAATTTTAAATTTCAAAAGCATATCTATCTTTTAAATATTTAATTTTGTAAATAGAGCAATTTTATTCAATTGAAAAATTAATAACCTTTTACATTATTGCTGTATGTTATTACAAACCATTCATTATATTGATACTTATTTCAAATATTATATAATATTATCAATTAGTTCTATCTTATTTATGTACTATATACAAATTATATATAATATGATATATATATTATATTATATATATTATATTATATATAATATGATATATATTGTTTTATTCTTTAATTATAAAGCGAATATTAATTGATAAATTAAATAAAAAGCAGGGATGTAAAAAGTGCTGTTTTAAATTCTTAAAAGTCATGAGAAAAATATTTTTTGAAAGTATGATTTAATATATTAATGTAGATTGAAAATAATTGCTAATAAGATACTCGGTATCATATATTATTATATATTAAAATTTATAGTACAATTATAACAGTAACATAATAATAATATGAAATAAATATCTGATTTTATAATAATACTGAATTTTAAATATAAATAATTAAAAATAATTTATAAAAATTTATTTCATTTTAAAATTTTGTAAAAAATTGCCGAATATCTTATTAAAATTAATTGATAAGATAGGATATACCTAATAATTTGTAAAATTAAAATCAATAAGATTGATAATTTTAAACTTCAATAAAAGCATAAGTGATAAAAATGAAGGTAAAAAATATGATAAAGTTAATTGATGAATGTAATAAATAATCAACTGAAAAATTATTATAAATATTATTAACAAAAATTATTTTTTTATGTATAACTTCTATAATGTAACATTTTCAAGTATTTTATTTTTACATATGTTCATAATGAAATGAAACTCACGAAACAAAAATACTGTAGAAATCTAATTTCGAAAAAATAAGAATATCAAATGCTCATGACAAATATATCATTTATCTGAATTACATTTATTCTCATTTGCATAAAATTTTTTGTAATGGCAGTATGCAGCAATAGATATTTATGGAAATGGAATGTATTTTATAAAACGAAGTTATGATACTATACTGATATTATATTGATAAAAATTTTGAACACTTGTGACTACAGTACTTTTTGAATGAATTTCAAGAAGAATTTTGTAAATAGTTGATGGAAGGGAGGATACTTGGGGACCTGAGTCGACGCAATTTCCATTCGATTTCATAGTCACATCATAAAAAAATATAAAAAGAAAAATAATTCATTTATTCTTTAAATTTTTGTTTTTTCTATTATCAATTTATATGTATTGATTATTGAAGATAATAATATAATAAAATAAATAAAAAAAATTGAAATATAAAAATATTTATATAATAATAATAATATAATGAATATATAAATAAACGAGTTAAAATTAAGTTGTAATAAATGAATTATTTTTTAGATAAAAAATTTGTGATGTAACGTGAATATGGAATGTGATAATGTGTCATAGAGACCAGCGATGACTGCCGATTTTAATGTAAAACTATTAACATATAACATGTGTATCATATTGAGAAATAGTAATTATGTATTCATTGTAGGTATATGAATGAGTGGTTCTCCATAAAAACGTGATCTTAGATTTCATAATTTAAGCAATCTAATAAATTTAAAAAATACATTTAAAAATTTATGAAAATAAATTATTATTATTTTATTTATTTCAATATGTGTTTAAATTATGGAAAAAAAATTATGAAAAATATCAGAAATATATTTTAAAGTTATATAAATTATGACAAAAATCATTTAGATCATTTTTATAAATTTTGTATAATGAAATACATGCGTTGTTCGTTTTAAACGAAATTTCTGATAACATAAAATATACTTGATTATTGAATGAAATATGAATGTATTTGCAATTAAATACATTAAAAGTTTCACATGAAACGATTAATAAATTTATAATAAATCGATCTTTAATCAATGAATACTTTATTTTCACATTAAATTATTCTTTTTTTCTAATTTTTCATTTCCGGTTTGAAATATGATTTCTAATTCAAAATGAAAAATTATATCATAGAAAATTTTATAGAAAAAGGTATTAACAAAGAATATTTTAGTTTTTGTTTTTCTTGCAATTCTAACTTTCAATCTGTATATATATAGAGAGAGAGAGAGTCAGAGTATCATTTTTTTTTAATTAAACAATGAAAATATGTTATATATATTAATATAATATAATATTAAAAAAAATATCGATACAATAAATAGAGATATAGATGAATATATATCGAATAATCATATTAAAAAAAAAGGAAGTTACTAAAAATATGAACAATTCCACTGCAAATTCGCCTATAACAATTTATATATATATATATATATATATAAACAAGGAAAACAAAAGATTAACGAAAATTATAATAAAATTGATTCCTTTAAAAAAAAAATAAAGTACATCAAATCATTACATAAAGTAAATATCATACATTTAAAACTATCTTTAATTATGTTTAAAGTTAAAAAAATAATTCAAATATTAACAATTTATAAAAAAAAATAATATTTATTAATCACGATTTTTAAGTAAAAAAAGTTTGTTATCAATCTGTATAATTTTCAATTATGAAACATTAGAAATAAAGAATTTAAAAATTATAAAAAGAAACATATTAATAGAATTTATATCTTTAATTAATGATGATTTAGATAATTTTTCAAAGAATTTGTTCTTAATAAAACTTTGGAAAAAAACTGACAATATAAAAGAAATTTTAAATCATTGTGATAAAATTCTTAAAATTATTAAATATTATATTTTTGGTAAGTATTTAAAAATATATCTGTCAATATAAATTTATTTTTAAAATTTTTTATTATGTTGTTTTTTAGTAATTGTTTAAATATGCATAAATATATAGTTTAAGTTTATAAGAAACAATCATTAAAAATATAAAGATGTTTTTGAAGACAATAAATATACACAAATGAAATTTTTCTATAATTAAATTATTTATTAAATGTATGATATAATTTATAAAATATAAGAATTAAATATTTTAGTAATTAATACTAATAAACTTATTAGTAAAAATTAAGAAAGATACATATATAATGAAATTTTAATTTTAATATTCGTATCTTATTTATGCTATATCAAAATCATCTCTCTGTAATAGAAAAGTATATAACATTAATAAGTGTAATAAATTTAATATTAATTTAATATATGATATGAATATATACTTTATTACTTACAGCATCATTGTATTCTAATACATGTATTTTAATAGCTGATGTGTCTACCCAAGTAACAAAATCTTCCAGATTTCTATATTTATTTTTTAATATTTATTTTATTATTTTATTTATTTCATATTTTATTTAAAAATATTTGATGCATACCTTGTTATTAAAAATGCTGGATCTTTTACAACTTCTGTACCAACTCTAACATGACCTTGTTCTATGAATTGTGTAGCCATTTTTAAGTTTTGGCTCATTTTATTTCGTACCATAACAACTGGCAAACGTCTTCTACAAAATGAACTGGCACTCACTTTTTGTGTTAAAGACAAATCCCATTTTGTTGCTATAAGTCCCATCATATATAATTTCTCTAATAATAATGCACTCTGCTCTATTCGAAATGGATGTTCTGCGTCAATTTCTTTAATTTTTTTGCCTAATTCACGAATTTCTCGTGCCAATTTATTATATCTGGAATAATTAATGTTAATATATAATTATGTTGCATATATATTTATAAAATTTATGTTTAATAATGCAATAGACTTACTTCGTATAATCTTCTCTTTTTTGTATTCGATAACGTTTTAAAATTTTTATTTCGTGTAAATTATTATCTGCTTCCCATGATATAAAATCAACTTTTTTTAACAATTTCTGTTCGTGATATTTTAATTTTCGTACCATAATTGTCACAATCAAATAATTATTATTACGTGTAAAGAATATAAACTATAACATATACTTAACTTGCATCTATTTATATGTTTTGAAGGTTAGGTATTTATAAGTATTTGTAAGTATAACATTAAGATTGATCAAATAAACGTTTTGTAAATAATTAAAATAGATACTAATTATTTTCTGAATATTTCAATAAAAAAATATTTGATACAAATCATTTTTTTACATCTATTTTTTTCTATTAATACAAATTTATAATAATGAATAAGATAATGTTATTTATTTATATATTTTGTATAATAATTCAAATTAAAAATTTTGATTTTTATATGCATTAACAATAAAAAATTTATTATAGGTTTTTTATTCAATTAAATAAAACATTGTAAATAATATTAAATTAAATAAGATTAACAATAAAGAATTAAATAAAAGATATTTACTTAATTTTATAATGGATAAGAAAAGCGAAAAAGTAATACCAGGTGATGGTTTACGATCTTTAAAGAGTACAATGTTATTTCGTACAATTAATTATGAATTATATGTTAAACCGGTAAGATTATTTTTTAAATTGAAGTAAATTTATAATGATTTTAATTTATTTTATTTTATTTTAATATATAATAATAATATATTATAAATATTATAGATAATAGATTGACGATTATATAATAATTATTAATTCCTAAAAAACAAAAATTCTTTATATATCATATTATATATTTTTTCATATTAAAAATTCATTATACAATTATCTAATGATAATTTATTAAATAATTAAATGTTATATGTTTATATTAAATATTTGAATTTTTAAATATAATATTAATAAATTATAAAAACATCTTCTTAAAATAATTTGATTTCTTTTTCAGAATAAAATAATAATGATTTTTGGAACCATTGCAATGTTTGGTTGTGTAGGGTATATTGTTTATATGCAACATAATTATAATAATAAAAAATACTATTCTGTAATTAATTCTAATGGAACAATTGATTTTAAAAAGAAAATATCAAAATGGACAATGTAATTTACATATTTTTTTATGTTCATTAATATTAATTACATAAAATATAGAATTATTACTTATTATATTAATTAGTTTATTATATTCTATTTTATTGTCAATTACTAATTTGCTTATTATTATTTCTATTATATATATTTCAATGATATGTAACAATAATTTAAGATTCCCTGTTATATAAAAATATTTTATTATAACACATAAATTTTTCAATTCTTATTGTGATACTTTGAATTTAATACTTATATAAATATATTAATATCAAAATAATATATTTTTTTGATATATTAATTTTAACAAAATATTATTTTGAAAAATGTAAATAGCATTTTATACCACATATATTTTAGATATACATTATATATATGTACTATACATATATACATAAAAAGTTAAATTTTGTTATTATTTTATACAAATTATTAATTTTGGCAGTATATAAGATTAATCAAAAAAGTACACTTAGGTATGTTATAATAAACAGTTTAAAAATTGTTAAAAACAATAATATTATGTAATATTAATAACAATAAATGTTACAATGAGTGTTATGTACATATATTTTTATAAAGAATACCATAATAGATTTAAGATATAAATACTATTTATATCTTATATATGTTTTTACATATTACTTACAATGAATAATTATTACAATTATGTTAGTTTTATAATATCTTTCTGTAATTTTTATAAAGATCTTGAATTTGGTCCAGATTTTTGAACAAGAAATGTTCTAAGCTTTTAAATTAACTGAATTATATAATAATACTAAAAATATATATGTATGTTTTTATATATGCATATAATATATATATATATAATTATATATAATATTAATATATAAAATAATATATATATTATTTATTAAATATTTTGTAAATGTATGTAGCTTTTTCATATGATTTAACATTATATATATGATTTAACAATATGTAAATATTACTTTAAAATAATTGATTATATTGTATTATATTATACATATAAAATTTAAAAAAATTCAATATGTAATTATATTTTTCATATGTAATACTTCTAAAAAAATGATTATAAAACATAATTATTATTTTATATAAATTGATATGATTTTGTTTGAAATATTTGTATCTTTTATTTCATAATTTATAAGTTATTGGAAGCATTTAGGGAAAATAAAAAATTTATTCTATTTTTAATATAGCATAATGGATTATATCTATATTAAAGGAAAGTTATACATGTTTTCTAGAATATTCTCTTGTTTTTTATTTATTTAAAATGAGACGTTTTAATACTAATTATAAGATATATTAATGTATATAACTGATTTCAATTCTATAAATACAAAAAATATAGTATCAATTTCTTTTTGTATAGAAAACGATAACAATTAATTTATCCAGAACAAAGTAGTAAATAGGAACAATGATTTCAAATTAATGATTTCAAATTTTATGTAATTCTCATAAATATATCGCTTATTATTAAAATAATTAAAGTTCTATTGTTACTTTTAATTATAATTTTTCTTCAGTCATTGATTTTTGTTAATAAAGTATTTATATATATATATATTAATTGATTGTTAAAAATATAATATCGAATATAAGATATTTATATAAAGATAACATTTTATAAAACATATTTGTTGATAGAAAAACTCTATTTAAAAAATATTTTTTTGAAAATATACAAAAAATATTTTTATTTTTATATATAATAAGAATAGTTATTTAGAATATAGTTTTAAAAACTTGGTCTCATTCATTAATAATATCACATAATATATATATATAATTCTGAAATTATTTACAAGAACATGTGATATATGATAATTTCAAACTTTATATAATGTATATGATTTAACAATTTTCTAAATAATAGAAAAATAGAGGCTTTTAAAAATTTTTGTTTATATCAGTTATAGGATATTATTATTTTAAAGTAAAGCTTATTAACGATACAAAACATTAGTTTATATATGATTAATTTTCTTTGACAAACATTAAAAAATCATTTATATCACAATGAATTTTTATTATTTCTGAATATTTTCCTACAAACTATTAAGCTTAATAAAAATCACTTTAATAATAAGCGATTATATATGTATTAAAATTTGGCATTTTCATAATACTTTGTTGATATTTTGTACTTTTAGAGACAAGGCGATTTCTAACAAAATTTTTTAAGTTATGTACGAAATAGAGAATTTACGTTAATTTGAAATTTTTTTTAAGAAATATTAAGAATTTTTTAGAAAAGAAACAAATATCTTAGATAAATATCTCAATAAATTAAATTGAAGAGAATTTTAACTAAAACAAAAATAGCTATATAATATTAATTTTTATGATTATAACATAATTTTAATGCATATAAAATATTCTTATACTTTAACAATTTCTCAACACTAAAATTTTAGTGACAATTTATAGTTATTACCATATGAAATCTGATTCATCTTTTAACATGTACAACTTTGCTTATTTTGTGGATATAATAAAATGGTTTCATAAATCGCATTTGCTACATAATCTACATTGTTTTCATTAAGTCCACATATATTTATTCTACCACTTCGTAACATATAGATGTGGTAATTATTGATTAAACATTCAACTTGTCTTTCTGAAATAATGATTTAAATAAAATAATATATTATTAAATATAACAAAATAGTTTCCTTAAATACTAACCAGTTAGACCTGTATAACAAAACATTCCTATTTGTTTAGTAATATGATCCCAAACACCTGGAGTTCCTTTTTGAACCAATTTTTCGTATAAACATATTCGCATTTCTTTTATTCTAGTAGACATTGTAATCATATGACTTTTCCTGAAATATTTTGATAATTTTAGAAAATATTTATATTTAGTGTACAATTTTATTATTTTGTTTTTTATATTATACCATTGCTTGAAGAGATCTGGATTCTGTAAAACAGTTGCAACTAATCTTGCTCCATGATTTGGTGGATTACTATACATTCCTCGGACAATCAAAGTTAACTGTGATTTAACTTGAGCTAATTCTTTTGTATCAGACATAACAACTATCAAATTTCCAACTCTTTCATTATATAAACCAAAATTTTTAGAAAAGCTTTGAGTACACATAAATTCTATTCCACGTTCAGCAAATCTTCTTACTACATAAGCATCTTTATCTATATTACCACTTGCAAAACCCTAAAAATTATATCTTTTATATTACTATTAAAATTATTTTAAAAATAGATAGCAATATATATTATCTATAATAATACTTGATAAGCAGTATCAAAAACTGGAAAAAGAAAATTTTCTTCCACTACATCTGCTATTTTCTCCCATTGTTCAGGAGTTGGATCACATCCAGTAGGATTATGTGCACATGTATGGAAAATAATTACAGCATTCTTTGGAGCATCTCTAAGATCTTTAAGCATTCCTTCTATATGAAGAGAACAGGTTTCTGGATTCCAATATCTATATTCACAAGCTCTTTTAAATCCTCCATTTAAAAACACAAGTTTGTGATTTTCTATTAATAAATATTATATATTAAAAATTATGTAAATAAATATCTTTTTCATCATTTCATTTAAAAATTATTAATACTTACCCCAAGTAGGTTTGCTATAATAAACAACATCATAGTGTAAAATACGATTTAAAAATTCAGCTGCAACACGCAATGCACCAGTGCCAGATAATGTTTGAATGCCAAAAGCATGACCTTGTGCAATAATAGGAGAATCTGTACCCAACAAAAGTCTTGTTGCTGCTTGAGAAAAAGCATCTAATCCCAAAACAGGGAGATATTCATGATTTTGTAAATCATCTGCAGCTAATGATTTTTCTACTTTCCGTATAACTGGTAATACCCATGGTTTTCCTTCACTTGTGCGATAAGCTATAAATAAATAATTTTATTATAAATTTCAGGAAATATTTGAATTATATAATAATCTTAATAATCTTATACATTATTTAATATTTAAAAAGTAATTATATTCTATAACAATATATGATATGTGTTATGTAATCACTAGATATTGCTGGAGGTCATTCAAGAACAGATTTATTAGTAATATCAAATGACAAATAAGATAATTTTAAAAAAATTTCAAGCTTTTATATTTTAAAAAATCATTTTTTAAATTATAAAAAAGAAATTATAAAAGAATTTATTTATATATATTTGTTTTTTTAAATATAAAATATTAAATTAAAAATTTTGCAACATACCTCCTATAGATAAATTCACTTTTTTTTCGTGAGTATCTTCTAAAAAAGCTTTATGAATTGCAAAAACTTCTATTGAAGGTCCTAATTTGATTCCGCAAAATCTTGTAGTCATCTTTGGAACGTTTAAATATCGAGTGATCAACTACGTATGCAACGATGTAAAATGAGAGTTAATCCGGCTCCACCATTTTATATGGAATAACAAACACATTTATAAATCTCTTGTAATCACTATGTAAGGAATATTCTTGACTTTTAAAAATAAAAATTCATTTTAAAGATAAATATTCACATTTAACATATAACTATAATTTAAATTATAATTATATAAACTTTTATTACTAATAAATTTAAATTAATTTTAATATTTAATAAATAGATATTTGATATATATTTATAACTTTAATTGTATTGCATGTAGAAATTTTATTTTTTATAAAACATAATATAAAACAAACATTAAAATATATAAATAAATTTTAATATATATATAATCATTGTTAAAAATATAAATATATATTATGATGTATTACATAAAATATTAAATATTTTTGAATTTATAATTTAAAATATACAAAATATTTATAAATATTAGCTTTTATATTTTCATGTAAAAAAAAAAATATGCATTTTACAAAAACAAACAAGATTTTATATAATTTGTAAAATAAATAATACAAAATAATACAAGTAAGAAATTTTTACATGTTAACAATTATTTAACATAAATAAGATTTTTGGAATTCCTGCTTTATCGATTGATCGTTTTTACCGTTATTTATCGTTATAGAGGTCGCCATATGTAAGTAATATATCACGTATATAGTTTAGTCGATGCATAAAAATTTAACATAGTTTAGTTGAAAGTTGAACAGTGAAGAGTCAAGTTTCTGTGTCAAATTTTATACTTTGTGCCAACTATTACGTTTTTTTTTCTGTTGTATTTTTTGTGTTTATATGATTTACATTCTTGAATTACACGAGAAACCATATTAGAGTGAGCATGAAATATATTAATTTTCTTCTTAAATATATAATTTATTCTTTTGATTACGATTTAAGGGTGCTGTATGTTGTTATGATTTGTTATTATATATAATATTTTCTTATAAAATATTTATTGATAGTTTAATCATGCGTTTAAAACATATAGTAAACATAAAATTTAAAATATATACTATTTTTTTCAATTAAAATTCTTAATTATTTTAGTTATGATCATAAAGATTGTTAACATATTGTACAAAAATAATTTTAATTGTTCATTACACAATTAATATGCTTAGTGTGCTTTTCAATATAAATAGTATAATATTATCAATGAAATGAAGTTTAAAAACTTCAATCTAAATTGAATTCAATTTTATTGTCAGATGAAAAATTACTAATTTTTTGTAGTAATAATTTTCTAAATATTATTACATACATGTATAAATTCTCTTATGTATTTAATTGAATATGTATTGAATAATATATATTACTTATATAACACTGCTTATACATGCATGATATCAAAATATTATTTATAATATTTATAAATATATTATTTTTTAAAACATTTGATACATTTTTTTTATCAAATTTTGATTAAATTAAAAATAATCGATTAACAGATTTTATTTATTTTCATTTCTTTTTTTATATTAACATAAACAGAAATTAAATATAAAATAAAGATAAGAAATATGTATTTTTTTAAATAAATTAATGGTCGACTTAAAATTCAGGTTTCATGAACTAATTATCTGTAATTCCGGATTCGATTTATCGAAGTTTATAAGTAATTATTTAAATCAATATTAAACTGCTTAATAATAATTTACAGTAATTGTTGATTCATTAATAATTTAAATATATTCATAAACTGAATTTTTAAAAATTTTTTCTACATTATTTGTTTCATAATAAAAAATGTTTAGAAATTTTAATTTTAAAATGATGTAAATTTATATTTTTGGCATCATATTCTTATAAATGTATATATTTTGTATTAAATCAAATTTCTTTAAATACGAAATTTATATTAAATCTTATTAATAATATTCTATTATATATTTATAATTATTTATAATATATATTATATAATATATTTAATTATTATATATAATTATATAATTTAAAATATTGTTTTTGTTTTAACTTTTAAAACAAAATAATATATTGAAAATTTTTTATTACCATTTAAGATAAAGAATAAATATATACTTTTTTAGATTAACAAGTAAAAAAAAAGGAAATTGTATTATTAAACGTGCTTTGTGCATTTATTTTTAAATATTTTCGCAAATATTTTTTTAAGATCTTATTTATTAATTTAATAAAAATATATATTTATTTATTTTATTTCTAAACATATATATATATATATATATATATATATATATAGATTTTAATAATAATATTAATTGTATTTGTTCTATAAAATTTTTTAAGATATTAATATATATTTTAAGGATATTTATGAAAAAAGTAAATAATTATTAACAATATGTACATAAAACATAGAACATAGTATCTTTTATATCTGTATAATACAATTCTATTCTAATAAGAATTATATGTACAAGAATTCTTAGAATTAGAATTAGAATTATAAAGGATTTTTTTGTAGATAAATTTATTCAATGATATGTATTATTATTGTAATAAAATACAATTATATAATAAAATACATTAAGTATATCATTATTAATATTATTATTATAAATTTATTAAAATTATTTTTTTATATATTATTTATAAATTATGATTTTGAAATATAAAGATATATATATAAGAGAATCATATTTATGTACATTCATATATTAAAATTATTAATAAATCTTTATTACTTGAAACGTTATTATATTAAAGAAGAAAAAAAAATATATTTTTGGAAAATAATACGGACTTTAATATCAAAAACAGAAAGAGCACATTTTGTCCATATGGTTTTAATTGAGAACATTGTATTTATACTGAATGCAACAATATTGGTAATACGTGCATACAATGCATAAAATGAGAACTGATCGAGCTTATTTTTTTTTCTTATAAGAATTTCTTATAAAAATTTCAATATTATTGGTACACATATTTCATTGTTTAGTCTATTTCGAATTAAAAATTTTTATTTATTAGAAATACAAAATATTTCAAAACTATAATATTATTTAAAAATATAAATTAGAATGTTAACATTTAATTATATATATATAATTGTGGCAATATCAATTAATAAAAAAATATTTAATTTATAGATCAATAGAAAAATTGATAGACTTAATAGTTTGAAAAATTGATAGACTTAATAGTTTAATTTAATTTTTTAATGAATATTATTTTATGAATATACTAATTAAAAATTCACAGAGAAAAAATACTTAACAGAGTTACTTATATTTAATTACAATTTTTAATTTTTTTTACTATTATAATATGATTTTATAATCAATAAATCAAAATAAAATACGTTTTCTACGTTCTTTCGCTTTTTGTCATCAGGAAAATCGTTATAAAATATGAATTATTAAACTTTATTTTATTTTATCAATCTTCTTCATCGTCCAATTTATTTCGATGTATTTCAATCGAACAAAATTTTTTTCAATATTTTTTTTTGTGGCATCTTCCATAATAATTTCAATTAATAAAAAAATAATCTATATTAAATTTGAGCTGAATCAAATAAAGAGAAATATTCTCATAAATTTTTTTTTTATTTCTTTTTTTTTGAATTATTTTGGAGAGTGTTGCAAAAAAAATTTGAGAATTAAGAGTCTTTCTAATGAGAGTCTTTCTAATGAAAATCTTTCTAAAGAATCTTCTAAGTAATCTTGAATTAGTTAAAGTCAAGAAAAATTTACATATTATATATATATGATGATATAAATTATTATTGCATATATTATTTTTATTTTTTATATTAATACTTTGGATAAATTACAAATATATAACAAAATATAGAAAATTATTGAAATGAATAATTATTTTATTATAAAATGTCTTTTTTCATTTTTTTAAATATTTTTTTTATACAAAAAATACAACAAAAATCTATACAATTTTTTCATGTATATTGCACATTATTTATTTATGTTTTATTAATATGCGTTCTTAAGATTTTTTTTATGATTTTTATGATTTTGATTATTCTACTTGTTAAATAAAAAAAATAATATTCTTTATAAAAATATTAAAAAAAATAAAAATATTAAAAATATTTAAAAAAATATATTCTGACTAATAACAAAAATAATAGAAGTAATAATAATTTTTTTATGATTTTTCAGAAAAAAATAATTTTTAAAAAGTTAATAAAATAAATAGTAAAGTAATTATATTGTTAATTGGATTCAAGATTTTTCGTATTATAATCTTCATCAAATATTTGCAATTAATGTTAGCGTTTTATATATAATATAATTTCACTAATGTGCATTTTCTTGTAACAGATTGCACCAATGATCGCGAAGGAATTTTGTGAAACGTGTTAAGTCTAGCGTAAAAGGAAGAACGTGATAGAATATATATTAAAAGATATATCTAGTTAAGTTGAAGACAAGTAGAAATAATATAAAATTAATATTGAAAAATTTGTTTTTACTTAAAAAATATTAATTTTTTATTTGTTATATATTATATACTTTTTCATTTTAGATATATTAATTTTTACCAATTTAAACAAATTTTTAAATTAAAAAAATTTAATTAAAATTAATATGTATATTGCATATTATAAATATGGAAAGAAGAAGAATTAAAACTTTTGTTTATTAGATCATTTTATTAACTGCAACTTGAATTCGAAATGATTTAAAATTTCATTTTCATTATAGGAATATGTTTAAGTTTAATTAAAATTCGTCTTTTAAATTTTAATCTACGAAAATGATTGATTAATTAACAAATAAAATTGTTTTAAAATAAATAAAATGAGATATATAAAACTTGAATATAAACCAAATTTTTTTTGAATATTTTAAAAAAAGATAAAATTATTAAAATTTAATTTTAATTTTAAATTAAAATTTTAAAATTAAATAAAATTTAAAATTAAAATAGTATTGATTGAAAATAATTTTTATTAATATTAAATATTATCAAATATTAATTAAATCATAAGTATGTTCAATAATGATTGAATTAAAATATATCTTTTTTATGAAAAAAATAAAAAATTTATAAAAGAAATCAAAAAATTATTTT